GTCCACTTGATGTATGGAACTGTTTGAGATTAGATGCAAACCAGAAAATAAACAAACAAGAGAGGAAGAGAAGAGAGARCYGGCGGCAAYGAGTGTTAGAGAGTAAGAGGTTCGAACATAACCTCTCTCTAACACTCTAAACATCTTATTAATAAGTTAATCTTTGACAAATTACAGAGAGGCCCTTGAGTGAGCAGGAAAATACCAAAAACAAACATTATAGAGTATGGGCCCAGAATAAGGCCCACAACAGAGAGAAACATAACATAACATGAAATGACAATCTATGGGCCATTCGGCCCATCTCCTCTACAAATAATAAGTGAAGGGGGCGGCCAGATCATTGCTCTCTTTTCTTTTCAACTTCTCTTCTTCTCTTCTCCTTCTCTCTTCCTTCTCTCTTCAAGAAACTACTTTTCTTTCATATTTTTCAATTCAACAGATTTCTACTCCAAACACAAAAGCCCCTTGATTTGGAGAGATTAAAGAGGGAAGAACTTTTTTTAATTCTCTCAGCTAACACCTTGGAGACAACTTTATACATGCTGCCCACAAGACTTTTGGGTCTAAAATCTTTTGGGTAGGAAGCATCAAAGGTTTTAGGGATCAAAGTGATAAATGTGGCATTTGCCCCTAAGTTAAATTTTCCCCTTTCAAAGAATTCAGCAAAAACTTCCACTAAATCAGCACCCACAATTTCCCAGCAATCTTGAAAGAAAGCCATCATAAATCCATCTAGGCTTGGGGCTTTGTTCATTCATTCAACCTACTAAAATATCTTCTTAAAAAGCAATTAAAATTATAAAATCATTATTTTGTGTGAGAACTAAGAACTTAAGACCCTAACATGGACTTGTTTGGGCTTGCCTCGAGGGGTGTGGCACAAAGGTGGCTCGTAGAATTAGGAATATAATATGTTTTACATTACATTAGCTACTTTAAGTAATGCAATTGAGGAAAAAAATAGATTGTGTGTTTTACATACTTGAAAATGTTATATATGTTTGATTTTATTTTTAAATTCACATTTGAATATGCTTTACATGTTATGTTTATGTATTTTAATTATAGATAGGGAAAATTCCACTTTAGTACCCTAAACTTTGGGGATAGTGTCAAGTTAGTACCCGAACTTTCAAACATGTCACTACAGTACCTAAACTTTGAAAAAAGTGTCAAGTTAGTCCCTGACGCTAACCAACCGTCAGTTATCTATTGAAAATATCAAAACTGCCCTTCAAAAGAAGGCATTGTTCATTGTCTTCTACCTTGAAATTCTGGACTAATGAAGGGCCCACCTTCAACCAGAACGGGAAAATTTTCTCCTAAATAAACACCACACTTTCTCATTCAAACGATCAAACGGGGGACCAAAATCTACTGTTTGGCACTGTTCACATCTAACCGGACTGAACCTCAACCGGTTTGATCCGCGTTGAGTAATTTGAGTCTCTCCCTGGGTTCTACTCTAATGACATAATGAATCTAAATGCTCTTGAAAAACCTTCAACATGTCGAAGAAAGTGACAATTCCGGCCAAGCTGTAGTCGTCTTCAATGACCACACGTAATTCACACGGTGGGCCAGCGCTTGAATCATCATTGCCACCAGCAAGCTCCTTGGATGGCACACAATCGCATCCGCTCTCCCCACCATCTTCGCCGAGTAACTTCCCTGTCGGCTATACCCATGCAACCACAGCGGTACCCTTGGTGACGACGAAAAGGACTCCTCATCTGACAAACACGATGACAACAATGATGGGAAGAATTCCTCCAACAACTCCAACATTCCTTTAAACTTCCTCTCTTTCAACCTTGCCTTCACCACCTGCACCAGGGCTTCTGGCGGACCACCGTAGTCGACGTAAGCCATTAAATTGCCCGCTAAGAGGATATTGCCCATGCAACTGTTCCGTCGCAATTTGCCAGGGTGTATGGAGAGATCTCCCCGATAAATTTCCCATCAGCATCTATGACAATGGTCTACTGAGACAAGGAACTGGAGATTAAATCCATAGTGGAATAGGCTAGATCGTGATATCCGATGGTCGGTGCTTCAATGCCAATGATGCTGAGAGAATCAATCGACAGAGCCGGGATGGGTGAAAAGAGGTTGATGGAGCTCAGGAGGAACCGGATGACGTCCTCTTTAGTGAGCAAGTAGAATTCACATCCATTGTGGAGAGTGATGTTGCTCTGTATTGGGACTACCATGTTCTAGGTGCTTTCCATTATTAGATCAATCACCTTTAATATGCTGAAAAATCAAGAAAAAAAATATCAAAATTTTGGGAAAATATGTATGTTAAAAACAAAGTCTTGGACGAAGTTAGTACCCGAACTTTAGGGGTAGTGTCAAAAGAAGACTGTTCATTGTCTTCTACCTTGAGACTGAACCCGCAAGCAGGTCGGGGTTTCCTTTCAAGGTTAATCTCATGAGCTGTATCTAGTCCAGAATCTCAAACACCTCAACCGGTTCATACTCAAGGTAAAAGATAATGAACAATGTAAAGGGCAGTTTTGACATTTTCAATAGATAGCTGACGGTCAATTAACGGCAGGAACCAACTTGACACTTTTTGAAAGTTTAGGTACTGCAGTGACACATTTGAAAGTCTAGGTACTAACTTTACACTACCCCCAAAGTTTAGGGTACTAAAGTGGAATTTTCCCTTCTAGATAATAGGTTTCTTAAAACATTTATTTTAAAATTTAAAGTTTATATTTTTTTATTAATATTATGTTTAATATTCTTTTTTTTTGCAGTTTTTTTTTATTTTTTAGCATTTTTTTATTTGTGTGCCTTGCTTCAAAAAGGCGTGCACCTCACCTTGTGCCTTGCACCTCAGGTGCGAATTGACCCCTATGCCTTGCACTTTTGAAACACCATCTCTGGCAGAGTTTGGTTTTTTGAGTCTTTAGGTCTTTCATCTGTGAATTTTTTGGGTTTTGTTATAGAATGTTGTTTTTGTTGGGGTCCTCTGGATGTATGTCTCTTTCGGGTGATACCTTATCACCTTTCTATTGTATTTCTTTTTCTTTTTTAATGAATTTTCTCTTTATTCTTCAAAAAAAAAAAAACAACGGATGTGGCATTAAACAAAATGGAATGGCGAAATAGGATTCATGTAGCCAACCCCATATAGCTGGATGAGGCTTGGACAATGATGATGATATCCTAGTTTATTTTACTAAGAAGATTCCTTAAGTGTCAATTACCTCTACAGCCTGCTTCCTTTTATTGGGCACTAGTGCCAAACACTAACAGAAACAAATTCCTCCATGTGTGTTATTTTTTAGCCAAAATGCACAGATCCCATACAATATTAGTTCATCACTTTTTTCTGCGAAGGATATCAGTCTCTTACATTCATCTGATCTATTTCTAGAAAAATGATGGGTGGCATAGCAGGACCTTTAGATGACAGGTTGTATAACTTTATTTTGTGTTCTCCTTTTGTTTTGCTGCAGTGTATTCAGTAACAAATAAATAAGTCTTCCAAATAAAACCAGGACTGGCTCTGCAAAGCAGTCTTGCATGGACTCTCCTAAATGGATGACCTGCCCATGTCAGACATCCAACAGAGTCCAACACCCCACAGATTCTTGAGGACACTTATATGTGACATTTCCTTTTTATTTCCTGCCTTATTTGATGTAACTGAACAGATAATGCACAAGTCGAATACCATTTTTCATATCAGATGTTGCTTACAAATAAAGGCAACATCTTTTGAAGGTACATAATGTATGAATCCAAAAAATGAGTTTCTAGAAGTGGCATGATAAGGAAAAGACATATTACTTCATGTTAATCAGCTCAAACAGTGGAAGAATCAAATTAAGTTGCAAGGGCTAAAGTTAAGGGTTTAAGTAACTTTCACTTGAACATGAATTGTTTCTCATTAAAAAAAAAAAAAATATTTTGCTTGAGGGCAAATAAGACAAGAATCTGCATAAGCATCTTTTTCCTTCACCAAAAGGTCACCCTCCACTTGGCCTCATTAAACTTTGTTGTTTCCATATGCTGGGTTATCCTTCAGATGTCTTTCAGTTGATTAGTCAGTGGAATTCACATATTTTTTTTGTTACTGGGAAAATACCTCTTTGCAAGAGTTCTTTGCTGAACAACCTCACAATCTCATTAACAAGAACCAGGTGAAAAGATTTTAAAGTGACTCAGTCTTGGTAGCATCCTCAGATAAATAGGGCTAGGTAGAAGGTATTCTAATTGATTCAGAACATTTGTTTTTTTTCAATGGACTAAAGGTGTAGAAAAGCCTATCTTCTGCCATAACAACATGAAAGATTTAAGGTGCATTTTGGGTTGGGCTTGAACTTTGGAGTAACAAAAACGTAGTTTGGAGATGATGCAAGATCAATAAAAAAAAAATGAATGTAGTGACCTCTTCAGTGAATATTTTCATCCTAATGGTCTCCAGGGAAGGCAAACGATGTGGTAAAAATTCTATCAAAGTGAATCTGTTTCTTTCTTTCTTGTTTTTGGTAAAAATCAAAGCGGATCTGTTGGGCCGCACTTAGCAGGGACTTAATATTCCTTTGTAACTCTCTCCTTTCACCCCTTCTTCTCCCTTGCCTTTTTCTTGCTTGGATACATACTTTTGCATTTCTTCGTTGTTCTATTCAATATATACATATATGATTGAACAATTAAAAATTTAAAAAAGAAGAAGAATCAGGGAGGGGGGATCTTCTCCTGTTGAATCCAAAGCTCTTTGATTTTCCTTTGCAACAAGTCACAACTGTAAACCCCTTCTGTAAACAAAAATTCACTCTGTAACAGCAAATTAGTGTATATAGGCAGTAATTATAGGTTATAGCTTCCAAATATATCAAATGTCCAATCACGTATCATCACCAGAATTGTATACATACTAAGCAGAAAAATGCAAAGGAGTTGAAAGTGCTTCTTCATTGTGAACCCAACAAGAAAACATAAAATAAGCTATATGAAGATACCCTGCTAAGAGAACTTACAGCGTTAATATGGGCATGAGAGCGCAGATAAGTAACAGAGCAAGCCCGTGATTCATATCGGGGAGGAGGCGTCAACCCTATGGCGATTCGGCGAAGTCCAAAAACAATCCGTTCTTTCAACCGGCTCCCTTCTTGTTGTTGCTGCTCTGGAACCGAACTGTCCATCATCTCTGAATTATGGCCTTCGTCCACCCATCTCAGTGATTCCACTCAACTATACATGTAAGACTTGACGTTCCAAGTAAAAGAAAAGGACATGCAGGCTGAAGCGACGTTGGGAGTCCGGATCTTCTGTGGACAAAACTAGATTAAGCATGTGAAGTTCTTCACGCGTGTGACCTCTTACACGACGAGTGGTAAGGCACTTCGCAGTTCGCACCATTGCTCGAGCTGTCGAGCAAGGTATCTACGTTCGTAATAGCGCCAATCCTCTGGTTCAAGCCCGTCGCTAGTCACCATTTCTTCGATGGAACGACATGGTTTTTGCATCCTCAACGGCTTGGTAAGCTCTGTTTGCTGCTTCACCATCTCCAGCACCCGTGAAAGAATGCAAACCTATCTTCTCAGTCCACAACGAATAGAAATGTATAAAATCATTAATAAACCTACCCCTCCTCAGTCCTCATTCTTCGCTGCTTCGTACTCTCCAAGCCCGCTCAAATCTTCTGGCATCCTGATTTCTCCTGCATAGTACCTGGCAACCTGTCTCATGGTTGAACGTGGTGCAGATGAGACACAGTGAGGACAATCAACCCAACATGAGCACAATCACCACCTCTAATCATTCTTCCCATTCAACCTCGAATCCACCATGTGCAAGATGGCCATATCCTCCATCTATACTATACCCACACCACCAATATCAGGTCTTCCCGACGATGCTCTGATCAATAGACAATAGGTCTTCGCCGGCACGTTACCTCCAGCAATTGGTCTTCCGACGACTCGCATGTGCCACTTGTGCAGCGGATCTGATGTTGTCTATTCTAACAGCACTGACCTATGGAGCTGGAATCTTCTACCGAGACTAAATCTTTTCCTCACAAAGGGCGCCTCACACTGACCTCACGCGCACAGATCTCTCGTACTTATTTTTCACAGGAGATGTTTTCAATTCACGGTGGATGTACCTGTGAGCGCCTCTGAGTGAAGACCGAATGTGCTCCTCACAAAAGGCGTTTCACGCGCGCCTTACAGCACATCCTACCATGCATTAGGAGCATCTCCTGTACTTCTAAGAATTTTTTCGCTGGAGATGTTCCTAATACACGGTGGATCTGCATGTGAAGGGCCTAAGTGTGAGAAACAGATCCCGTTCCCCCCGAGTGAAGAGAAGATCCCATTCCTCTCTCCAAAGAAATTCATGTCTGCTACCAACATGACGCTTCCAATAGTCCCAACAAATCGTCGTAGATTGCCAAGTGACCTGCTCGCAATTCAATTCGAAAGAGTGGAGACTTGGAGAAGGGGTCAGTGACTGCGTGTGAAGCGTGGGGCGGACGACAGTCGAACCTATTTAAGCCCTAGACTGTATTCGAATCGAGATTAACAGATATCGATTTCACCCATTCAGCCTCTATATTCTCTACAATCTTTACCGTGCCTTTGTATCGTCGATTCATCGGTGACAATTACAGAGGACTAGAGGAGTTGCAGAAAATGGGTATAATCAGGAGCAGTTTCTCATTCATGCTAGGGACGTTGTGTGGAGTATACGTTGCTCAGAACTACAACGTTCCCAACATAAAGAAGCTCGCTAGTACAGGGCTTTTGATAGCCAAACACATCGAGGAAACGTACCGGAAGCCGAAGAAGAGAGACGACGACGACTAGTAGGGAAAGCGATGCTTTAGGAAAACTTGAAACCAGGTTCTCTTCCCTTTTTTGTTTTCTTCACCAGGGTGCTTTAAATTTTGATGTCTGTGTATTACAAAATGAGACGGGAAAAAATTGAAACCCTTGGTGTCGCAATGTGAACATTGTAGATTGATTGAGGGTTAACACTTCTGTTTATTGATGGAAATGTTGAATTGTTCCTTTCCTTACCTCAAATTAAAGCATGCATTAGTCAGATTTTTTTAATTGTAGCAAGGATATGCAATTGTTATATTAAATTGATTGAATAAATTGCTGTAGATCGGCGAAATTCATATTCGTCATCTTGCAATTCTTATTGTTAACATCGATCCTTACTTTTCCCAGTGATCTCCCTTTAGCAACATGTATTAACGAAAACTTGTAAATGAATTTATGTTTTATGATTATCTTAAAATTACCATTAAGTTTCTTGGCATCTCAATCTATTGTTCCTTATCGAACAACTATAGCAACACAAAGTTCAGCTAATGAATTGGCAAAAGCAAAAGAATAAAAACGCTTAGAAAAACCATGAGCATAGGCCAAAATGTTAAGAAGAAATTTTAACAGGATGTTCTACCAAAAGATTGAAAGGATCAGGATGGGGTAAACTCTGCCCATTCATGTGATGGTTAATTTACAAGCATACTAACTTAGAGAACTCATTTCTCCAGGTATCTATTTAATCTGAACTGGAATAGATTTTTGTTTTTTTTATAGTATTAAAAAATATGAAAGAAAGTAGTTTCTTGAAGAGAGAAGGAAGAGAGAAGGAGAAGAGAAGAAGAGAAGTTGAAAGAAAAGAGAGCAATAATCTGGCCGCCCCCTTCACTTATTATTTATACTAAAATAATAGAATAGTACAAAGACAACTATGTCGTTATAGGTCGGCAAAACATAAAACAACATAAATAACACTCAAAAAACATAATAAAATTTGGACTCACATAACTACTGTGGTCCCCACCTCCTATCTAACGACTAACATAAAACATTTATTCAGAAAAACATCATAAAACTAATTAATCTTCAACACTCCCCCTCAAGTTGGGAGTAAATGTCACACATTCCCAACTTGCGTAGCCACCCCTTTAGTGAGAACATCAGCTAGCTGCAACTTTGAAGAGACATAAGGCAAACAAACTTCTCCTGTTGTTACCCTTTCTCTTATAAAGTGTCTATCAACTTCAATATGTTTTGTCCTATCATGCTGAATTGGATTGTGGGCACTATTGATTGCAGCTTGATTGTCACAGTATAACATCATGGGTTCTTCTGCTTTCACCCCAATCTCACTCAAAAGAGATCTAACCCAAAGAAGTTCTGAGACACCATGAGCCATGGATCTATACTCAGCCTCTGCACTTGACCTTGCCACAACCGCTTGCTTCTTAATCCTCTAGGAGATCAAGTTTCCACTTACAAAGGTACACACTCCTGATGTAGACCTCCTGTCATCTAAGCATCATACCCAGTCTGCATTTGTATAGGATTCTAGCTTCAGATTCTCATGATTTGAGAAAAGAATGCCTCTACCAGGGTGTTTTTTCAAATATGCAAGTATTCTTTCAATAGCTTCCCAATGCTAATCCCGAGGTGCATGCATGTACTGACTCACAATACTAACAGCATAAGAAATATCTGGCTATGTCATACACAGATACAACAGTCGGTCCACCATTCTTTGATTTCTCCCCACATCCTTTACTAATTCACCATTAATTCTGTGATTTGGATCAATAGGAATGTCTGTTGTTTTGGTCCCCAACTTCTCAGTCTCTCGCAGTAGGTCAAGTACATACTTTCTCTGTGAAATGAAGATCTCATGCTTGGATCTTGCAACTTCAATCCCTAAAAAGTATTTGAGCTCACCAAGATCTTTGATCTCAAATTCCTACTGCAATGATTTTTTCGAGATTGTCAATCTCCTCCAGATCATTTCCTGTCACCACTATATCATCCACATCCACATACACAATCAGAATTGACACCAAAGCATCTCTTCTCTTCACAAAGAGTGTGTGATCAGACTGTGTTTGTTTCAGTTCATACAGAGATTTTCTAAGTCTGCACACATTTCCTTTACCAATATTTTCATAAAAGTTTGCTAGAATGTCCATATATACCTCCTCCTGTAAGCCATCATTGAGGAAAGCATTTTTTACATCAACCTGGAACAAGGGCCATGAATAGGTGGCTCTAGAGATAAAAGAATACGAATTGAACTCATCTTAGCTACTGGTGCAAAGGTTTCCAGATAATCAACACCATAGGTCTGAGTATACCCTTTTGCTACNCCATAGGTCTGAGTATACCCTTTTGCTACTAACCTTGCCTTGTACCTCTCTATCTTGCCATCGGCCTTATACTTCACTATGAATACCCATCGACATCCGACTGTCTCCTTGTCTGGGGGGAGATCAACTATTTCCCAAGTTTGGTTTTTGACCAAAGCATCCATCTCATCTTGCATGGATGTTTTCCATTCAGGTTTGGAGAGAGCCTCAGTAACATTCCTGGGTATAGACAGAATCTAGGGAAGAAAGAAAAGCACGGTAGGAGGGTGATAAGGCACTGTAGGAAAGATGGTGTGAAATGCAGTGGGCTGTATACTTTCTCTTCCTCTTACGAAATGCAATGGAAATATCAAGGTCAGTGGGATCAGCTGCAACAATGGTGTTAGGGATAGAAACATTATCATCAGAAAACATAACAGGCTCAAGAGGAATACCTGGACTGTATCTGCTGAATCTGGAGTTTCAGAAGGACTAACAGAGAGTAGTGTGGGTCGAGGATGTGTGGAGTCAACCATCATCTACCGACGTTGATATTGCTGTGAGGCTGCCCGTAGTGGCTCAGGTAATGAAACTGGAGGTGCAGGTGTTGGCTGAACCGATGTTGGCTAAACTGATGGTGCAGGTGGTGATTGAACTGATGTTGGTACCATAGAAATAGGAAGAGGAACAGATTGTGAGTTCTCCTCCCCAAAACTCTCCCCCTGAGGAGAACCACTCGAGAAGAAGAATGTGGATTCAAGAAAGGTAACATCCATAGTGACAAATCTGCTCCTCAACACTGGGTCATAACAGCAATACCCCTTTTGGTTTTGAGCATACCTAAGAAAAACACATTTCTTGGCCTTAGGATCCAATTTCTTGCGATGAGGGCCAAGAATGTGAACAAAAGAAACACAACCAAAAACCCTCAGAGGTATATGAAATATCTCTCCATCTGAAAAAATGATGCTAAATGGCATCTTAAACCCCAAAGTTCGTGAAGAAACACGGTTAATCACATGTACAACTGTAAGAACTGCATCTCCCCAGAACTACACAGGAACTGAAGCACACACCATAAGATTCCTTGCCGCCTCTACAATGTGTCTATTTTTCCTCTTAAACTCCATTTTGTTGCGGTGTATATCCACAACTGCTTTGATGAACTACACAATGTTCTAAGAGATACATGGTTAGGTCTTTCTCAAAGTACTCTCTAGCATTATCTAATCTAAAAACCTTAGTTCTCACTCCAAATTGTGTGAGAACCATCTGGTGGAATTGTC